TTTTCCCTGAATACTTTGTACTGGAACTGACATCATTCATCTGTTTTCCCTGAATACTCTGTCCTGGAACTGACATCATTCATCTGTTTTCCCTGAATACTCTGTACTGGATCTGACATCATTCATCTGTTCTCTCTGTGTAGCCTGTACTGGATCTGACACCATTCATCTGTTCTCCCTGGGTATCCTTACTGGATCTGACATCATTCATCTGTTCTCCCTGAAAACTCTTTACTGGATCTGACATCATTCATCTGTTCTCCCTGGGTATCCTTACTGGATCTGACATCATTCATCTGTTCTCTCTGTGTACCCTGTACTGGATCTGACATCATTCATCTGTTCTCCCTGGGTACTCTGTACTGGATCTGGCATCATTCTTCTGTTCTCTCTGTGTACCCTGTACTGGATCTGACATCATTCATCTGTTCTCTCTGTGTACCCTGTACTGGATCTGACATCATGCATCTGTTCTCTCTATGGACCCTGTACTGGATATGACATCATTCTTCTGTTCTCTCTGTGTACCCTGTACTGGATCTGACATCATGCATCTGTTCTCTCTGTGTACCCTGTACTGGATCTGGCATCATTCATACGTTCTCCCTGGGTACTCTGTACTGGATCTGATATCATGTGTCTGTTATCCCTGGGTACACTGTACTGGATCTGACATCATTCATCTGTTCTCCCTGGGTACTCTGTACTGGATCAACATCATTACTGGATCTGGCATCATTCATCTGTTCTCACTGGGTTCTCTGTACTGGATATGACATCATTCTTCTGTTCTCTCTGTGTACCCTGTACTGGATCTGACATCATTCATCTGTTCTCCCTGGGTACTCTGTACTGGATCAACATCATTACTGGATCTGGCATCATTCATCTGTTCTCACTGGGTTCTCTGTACTGGATCTGACATCATGCATCTGTTCTCTCTGTGTACCCTGTACTGGATCTGACATCATGCATCTGTTCTCTCTGTGTACCCTGTACTGGATCTGGCATCATTCATCTGTTCTCACTCGGTTCTCTGTACTGGATCTGACATCATTCATCTGTTCTCTCTATGTACCCTGTACTGGATCTGACATCATTCATCTGTTCTCCCTGGGTACTCTGTACTGGATCTGACATCATTCATCTGTTCTCCCTGGGTACTCTGTACTGGATCTGACATCATTCATCTGTTCTCACTGGGTTCTCTGTACTGGATATGACATCATTCTTCTGTTCTCTCTGTGTACCCTGTACTGGATCTGACATCATGCATCTGTTCTCTCTGTGTACCCTGTACTGGATCTGACATCATGCATCTGTTCTCTCTGTGTACCCTGTACTGGATCTGGCATCATTCATCTGTTCTCCCTGGGTATCCTTACTGGATCTGACATCATTCATCTGTTCTCACTGGGTTCTCTGTACTGGATATAACATCATTCTTCTGTTCTCTCTGTGTACCCTGTACTGGATCTGACATCATTCTTCTGTTCTCCCTGGGTTCTCTCTACTGGATATGACATCATTCATCTGTTCTCCCTTGGGTATTCTGTACTGGATATGACATCATTCATCTGTTCTCTCTGTGTACCCTGTACTGGATCTGACATCATTCATCTGTTCTCCCTGGGTTCTCTCTACTGGATCTGGCATCATTCATACGTTCTCCCTGGGTACTCTGTACTGGATCTGATATCATGTGTCTGTTCTCCCTGGGTACACTGTACTGGATCTGAGATCATTCATCTGTTCTCTCTGTGTACCCTGTACTGGATCTGACATCATTCATCTGTTCTCACTGAGTTCTCTGTACTGGATCTGACATCATTCTTCTGTTCTCTCTGTGTACCCTGTACTGGATCTGACATCATTCATCTATTCTCTGGGTACTCTGTACTGGATCTGACATCATTTGTCTGTTCTCCCTGGGTACTCTGTACTGGATCTGGCATCATTCATCTGTTCTCCCTGGGTACTGTGTACTGGATCTGACGTCATTCATCTATTCTCTTGGTACTCTGTACTGGATCTGACATCATTTGTCTGTTCTCCCTGGGTACTCTGTACTGGATCTGACATCATTCATCTGTTCTCCCTGGGTACTGTGTACTGGATCTGACATCATTCATCTATTCTCTGGGTACTCTGTACTGGATCTGACATCATTTGTCTGTTCTCCCTGGGTACTCTGTACTGGATCTGACATCATTCATCTGTTCTCCCTGGGTACTGTGTACTGGATCTGACGTCATTCAAATATTCTCCCTGGGTATACTGTACTGGATCTGACATCATTCATCTGTTCTCCCTGGGTACTGTGTACTGGATCTGACGTCATTCAAATATTCTCCCTGGGTATACTGTACTGGATCTGACATCATTCATCTGTTCTCACTCGGTTCTCTGTACTGGATCTGACATCATTCATCTGTTCTCTCTGTGTACCCTGTACTGGATCTGACATCATTCATCTATTCTCTGGTTACTCTGTACTGGATCTGACATCATTTGTCTGTTCTCCCTGGGTACTCTGTACTGGATCTGGCATCATTCATCTGTTCTCCCTGGGTACTGTGTACTGGATCTGACGTCATTCATATATTCTCCCTGGGTATACTGTACTGGATCTGACATCATTCATCCATTCTCCCTGGGTACTCTGTACTGGATTTGGCATCATTCATCTGTTCTCCCTGGGTACTCTGTACTGGATCTGACATCATTCATCTCGCCATTCTGTGTATTCTGTACTGGATCTGACATCATTCATCTGTTCTCTCTGTGTACCCTGTACTGGATCTGACATCATATGTCTGTTCGTCATGTAAGAACACTTGTTTCATCGTGTATACAATACCAACAGCCATCTGTATTGTATGAGTTGGACGAGAGATACACATTGTTGCCAGGTATGTAGGGTTGACAGATATGCCAGTGTTCCAGCATATGGCGAATGTCAGGTGTTGATCCAAAGGAAGTAGGGCGTCAAACGCGTGTCAATACATGGTTCATCAGAATTCTACACTTACTGACTAGCCATATTTGGCCCTGATACTGTTAACTGTTTATAGATGTACAAGGTATTTTATTCGTCTTTCTTAAACTTAATATTAATACAACCGATTCTCCGGTAGTGTTTCTTAGTTAAGGACGATACTGGCACTCTCTGGCAGGAAAAAAAGCCAATCTATCTATCAGTATTTGCTTCGTTGTTGTTACATGAACTAGCTGTGGGTTTTTTCCAAAACCGTAGTATCCGTACTACATGTCATTCTGTTGTACAAATACATGTATTTTTAACACCATCACCTTTCATCTACGCCCGCTTTGTTCATTTCTGATGTGCATGTTCGTTTTGTTTTCCGGAATTCTAAGCATCTTAAACTATTTACAAATGTCCTTATATAGAAGTAATTTCATCTAGAATAATGTCTCTTCGGTGCGTAAGGTGGAGCACCTTTGATCGATTGAAATGAACACATGTCTATATCCCTCGGTACATATACCTCCATGACTAATGATATTGTGACATATGACACTCAGTGCCGGGCTGTCAGTCATGCTCCGTGCTTGTAAATACTATGATTATCCACCATCTTGTTTTGTGGTATTTAGTCCGCTGTTAGGCGTTCACTCCGCCATATCCGCCCCTCGAATAATTCACATTGACGATCTGACTGGACCAACAGACCGTGACTCCAAACTGCGACAAGAGTCTGACTCCATCAAAAAGCGAATTGAGATAAGCAAGGATGGAGCTGTTGCACCTTGGCAAAGATATATGTTAATCCATTTATCTCAGCATTACGCCTATTTCACCACACAAAACTGTTTATTTTGTACAAAGTGTTCATTCATGTATTTATACCATGCACTTGTACATATATCACTGTACATATATCACTGTACATATGTAAACCACATGTACTAATAACTGAACACAGATGTTTATAACTAGTTGTTGTCGTTACCCCAGGTACAGCCATCTAGCTTGTGAAACAAATATCACATATTTAATAAAGAGAACCGGGTATCCGCTGATGTGAGTGTGGATCATTATATGGCATTACAGGCATCATGGTTTATTTAGTACTTCTGTTCAATTATCTGTTTGGGAAGGCATATAACAATGTTATTGTCTAAATCGATTGTAAGCTTACTCTCTTTCCTGCCTTTCACGGAACGGTATTCAATAACTCCAATAAGGTGATGGAAAGACTACTGTCACATTTCAGATAGATAACTACAGGAATAGAATTGTTTGTGGATATGTTTTTAACAAAATGTGTTGAAAATTACTTACCCTATTTCTTGTAGTGTAAATTCAGCAAACTCGTTTCTGGGGTTCATTTCCAAGCCGAGTGTCTATGACTGCTTCTGCAGTGATGTTTTCTTTATGTGTCGTGTAACTTTTGATGTTTATGTGTCGTGTAATTTGAGATGTTTATGTGCAGAATATATTTCCGTACAAACACTTGTAGTTCCAGTTGCATGGTTATTTCTTACATTAGGATATTCAGATATGTACACATTGCCTTGTTTGGTTATTTCTTAAATGTGGATATTCAGATATGTACACATTGCCTTGTTTTGATCGGTTGTCATTGTGGGTATTTCGCGCCTATACTAATCTGAGGGCTTAGCAATATTCTTCCGTTACGTTTGCACATTCTATGTAAATATTTGATAACTGTATTCAACTGTTTACATGTATAATTATTAACTAAACTATTCACCACAAGGTAACTGTTTGCACTGAGTTTTTTCATGATATTCAAACACAAATATTTATCATCCTGAATTTGTGTACGGGTGTTGTGTTTGTATGCGTTTTGTGTTTTGTGTGTTTGATCCTTCGGGTTTTTTATCGCAAAGTGAGCAGCCATTTCTATAAGTTATACATTCTTCCAACTACAGGTATTTCATGCATGCATTTTACTTCCAATCTGCCTAAGTGCATAAACTGGACACTTTGTTTATGTCAGCTGATCACGTACAGGGCAGGGGCCGTCTTCCTTAGCACTCGAAACCATCGTGGTTGTGGTCAACGTGGACAGGGTCGGCAGTGCAATGCTGATTGTGAAGTCGAAGATTTCGCCAGGTGTTCTGAAAAAAGTTTAGTCGTTGTAGTTAGTCAAGCACAACTGCCGTTGACCTGTGTTGTAGGTTGCTGAATGTAGGTTCATGACTTAAACAGGTTGACAGATTATTTCTATGACACTGTCATCATCTTATGTCTGTTATTAGATGATGTATCTCCCAGGTTGATCTCTGCCATACGGTGAGGGGTCAAGACACGTGGTACTTAATTGAAATCGTCTGCACGGAAATATTTCATGCTATATTTTCATGGAAAGGTACAAACCAAACCCATCGCGGAATTTATTTTAATGTGTGTTGTTTTCAGTGTCAGAAGGACACGGTTCATCTTGATGTTGTTTCTTCGTAACCACTAAAGTTATGCCTCTTGTGTTGCTGACATCAACCTTTAGGCCGACTACCCGTGAAGATCCGGGGTAGAATAGGTCTTCAGCAACCCATGCTTGCCACAAAAGACGACTATGCTTGTCATAAGAGGCGACTGACGGGGTCGGGTGGTCAGGCTCGCTGACTTGGTTGACACATGTCGTCGGTTCCCAATTGCGCAGATCGATGCTCATGCTGTTGATCACTGGATTGTCTGGTCCAGATTCGATTATTTACAGACCGCCGCCATATAGCTGGAATATTGCTGAGTGTGCCGTAAAACTAAACTCACTCACTCATTCACTTTAGGCCGACAGTTAAGTGCTGTTACAGAAACTCGGCTTGTTTGTCTCTTCACTATACCTTCTGTACATCGACCTCGAATGTCTTAGTTGACTAACAGTTATCACTGAATAAAATTATGTATGAAGCTGTGTAAAAATAACTGCCTGGAGGAATTGCCAAGTCAGTTTTAAAAATGAAAATGGATGAGTATAGGTTGCTGGTGCCCCCGATATGGGACCGGAATAAAGGCAATAAGTTGTATTATTGAAGTACGAACACTCTTCCTTTTCTCTGTTAATGGGACTTGGACACAATTGATTACACTTTTAAATGATTTTGAATTTTAACATCTGTATTCACAAAAGTTTGTCAAATACGAGAATTCTTGATACAAATAATATCTTTTCAGTAAACAAAGGCCACATTCTGATTAATTGCAAGATAACAATTTTCTTATCACATCCAATTGTTAATGTCAACTGTACAACTAAGAGTTATATGTCAGTGCGTAGGCTACATCAAGTACTTTGTTGATACAGATACCCTGTCATCTCTCATCGTCATAGTTAACCAAAACTTTTCCGGCACATGGCAATGCAACTTGTGAGTTATCATTTCATCCGACGTATCAAAATATGTTTCAGAAGAACTAAATATATTATTTGAACACCTTTGAATTGAATCAATATTCTTCAATATGCATTTTGTGGACCTAGCAGTGATGACGTGGCTGAACATATGTAAACATGTAAACAAATGTACCGTTATGGTAAACTCAATACTTCCACTCAGAACATTGTTTGAAATTCGATTGTCATCTATTATCAGGGGTTTTTTGAAACAAAATCTGGATTTTCTCATACATTTTTTATAACTTTACATTATCTACAGACCCAAAGGAGGTTTCATCTGCGCAGTCGCATTAACATACTGTCATTCTCTATACTGAATATCATTAAGCTGTACATGACAGAAAGAATATTGTTTCATCGTAGTAAATTATTTAGGACAACACATATTTTGAGATCGTATATTGTGTTCTACCTACAAAGATATTTTGTTCCAAGTTTGAGAGTATATTTTCTTATCAAATTGCCGAGTCACGATGAGGACAATGCAAGGAAACCTTGGCGATAAGAATCAGCATTGTCGGAGCATGTTTTCACTCCATTATATGATATCGTTTGATCTTGCCAAATGGGGAGGTGTGAAAAGTTGGCCCACCCGAGCTCTTAACAAAACGAAACAAGTCATGCAGACAGTTGGCTCGCATTCCCTCATCACAGTGTCAAATGAAGGGAAAAATATACTCGTTAAAATTCAGATTTATTTATCATATCTTGTCTTGCATAAGCTAATAACTGCTCTCCGGTAATATACAGCTACTCATAATGTATATAAGAACACAGAGATATGCCGTGGGTGTCATTTCTGCGCATAACCTGTTGAGAAGGGGTTAACATTTTGGTTTGTTTTTTTTCTCACGAATTTCTTGCTGAGGGATGGTACGCTTCTGCACTGGCTATGTGGGAGGAGATAATGTGAACACGCTGGAATTTATTTCCCTGAGTTTTACTCAAATACATGTATAGCAAAAACAGATTTGGTCTGCGCATATACATGTAGTAATTTGAGTGTTAAAAATCAACATTAAATCTAACTGGAATTACTTTAACCCTTTGATGGTCATTTTAAAATGACTATAGTCTCTCGTAATTTAAATTCATAACAACATATTTTTAAAGGCCGCGAATGTTCTTCTCAGTCGTTCCTATGGACACTTGCGTGCGTGACTCGACTCGTGATATACGACAGATACCGGAGCGTAACAGACACTGAAGCGGACACGTGCCTGTCAGACTCTAACGTGATGGACAGACTCTATGGGCGGACACGTGCGTTTCAGACTCTAACGTGATGAACGACAAGCACTATAGAGGGCACGTGCTATTCGGGCTCTAAACTTATAAACGACAGACACTATGGGCGGACACATGCGTTTCAGGCTCTAAACTGATAAACGACAGACACTATGGGCGGACACATGCGTTTCAGGCTGTAACGTGATGAACGACAAGCACTATAGAGGGCACGTGCTATTCGGGCTTTAAACTTATAAACGACAGACACTATGGGCGGACACATGCGTTTCAGGCTCTAACGTGATGAACGACAAGCACTATAGAGGGCACGTGCTATTCGGGCTCTAAACTTATAAACGACAGACACTATGGGCGGACACATGCGTTTCAGACTCTAACGTGATGAACGACAAGCACTATAGAGGGCACGTGCTATTCGGGCTCTAAACTTATAAACGACAGACACTATGGGCGGACACATGCGTTTCAGGCTCTAAACTGATAAACAGACTACAAATCTAGCGGCGTATAGAGCGTCGTCGGCATCTCAAAACAGGAGATACAGGAAGTGGCGGCATCCCTCACCTCTGATACATCTTCTGATACATCTTCTGATACATCTGTATGTTTTCGTATGTTTGTTGTTTAACACTGAAGTCACTAATATACCACCTGTACGATGCCAGTGGTCAGTAATCGAGACAGATAACCCAGTGAGTTACATCATGAGCATCGCCCCATGTAATTAGATCGCTGTATTCTTAATATTTATGTTTCAGTGAAAATAGATCCCTGTATTGGTCGTGACAACTGTTGACATATGTAGAGAGAGGCGTATACAGCCCTCCCTCCTCATTTGCAAGGGTATATATTGATCTGTTTAGCCTCGCCCGTCATACATGTGACAAGTCATGCGTGGATTAATTTAAGGACTTGCTTCATATTTATTAGCATTGTATTTTACCATATTTATTTCATTGTAATATTGTCATAAATGAATTTTATTATTTGCAATGGGTCTTATGGGGATATGATATTATTAGTTAATTCAAAAAACACTCAACTGCGTATAGTATGTCCACAGATATGATTGATCTATATCAAGTTTTGGTAATATATCTACTTAAATTTACATTTAATTAATCGAAGCCTGATAATACATTTCACTTGATATAATATATTATTTTACTTGTACTGTAATATATTATTTTGCTTGTACTGTATGGGAACAAGTATTATTGGCTTTATTGTATCTAATTTTGTAGGGAGCTCTTTGTACTGATTGCCGGTAGGATGGGACATTTCAATAAACCAGTGCACGCTTGTAGAAAATACACATGTTCATTTAATCATTTATTGCTTTTATGCTTCTGTACAAATCCCATCTGTGAATCTCACGTCACCTGAGTCATCCGATTATCGCAGAAATAACCATCCCTTGCAATGCTTAGTTAGATTGGAATATCCAGAGCTGTAAACCATTTCCTCAGAAACATGTTTCCTACGAATGTGCGCCACGATTTATTTTTCATTTTGATTATCATTGTAATATCTATTGAATCACAGTTCATTGTGTCGTAATGTGCTGTACAATAAACATTATACATGTCAGAGTCGTTTTGATATCCCACAGTCATACGCTATGGCGTCAGAGGCTGTTGAGTGAAACTCAGATCTCACGTTGTCAGTCATGTGTCGTCCTTATCAACTCTGGGCAGTTCGTGTTTAAATGTGCATGAAAATATTCTGGTTAAATTGTTCAGAATCTGTTCATAGAATGTTTTAGTAGTTACAGTAGCTAGTAGTGGATATATATGGGAAGATACCATCAGTGGAATACCTGTTTTTTTAGGTCCGTGCAAAATGCCGTGTCAGGTGCAGGTCCTGAAACCGAATAATTATGTTTGACCCAAAATAGGTACATGGATAGATCTAGCAGTTCCGTGGTACCTTTAGATAGTTAGAAAGGTTTTTAAAACATTGAACATCTTTTTTTAGTTTCAATGGCAACAACTTTGACTTGGGTTAAATTTGGGGCAGTGCTCGCTTCCTGAGATCATACCGAAAACTTTGTGCAATTTCATCAAACTAAATTTGATATATTTTGGGGTGATATGGTGCCGATTGATAGTTTGTCTTTTGTTAGAATAAAACAGAGTATCCGCAGCTATAACTTTATTAATGAGAGTAGTGCTCTTTTTCAGAGCAGGTCACACCATACGATATATATTCACCAACCTGGAAAATAGGTAGGTCTAGTGTTAAACTGGCGCCTTTAATAATTTGGATTAATTTCAAAAGAAAATATTGTTCAAGTTTCCATAGCATCAAGTTTCATATATCTTTTATACGACCAGCATTTATCACTGTGGGCAATATCGAAGAGTTTGTCGCCATGTAGCTGGAATATTGCTGAGTACAGCGTAAAACTAAACTCACTAAAACTCGAAGAGTTTGTCCTCTTGTCTTGTATACTTTATCGCTGACTCAAACAGTTCAGAACATTTAAAGTACATTTTAGAAAGTATTCTCCTTGACGCCATGGTCGTATCGGCAGCACGACAATCATGGTCTAATGGATCAAATGCATATAAGGAACTAACAGAATATAGAATGTTAATGGAAGAATTTAATATCTTTTACCAGATCATTTCTTATTTTGTCAATCTTCCTATCGTTTTAAACTTTACTCGATGCAGTTTGGTTTACAGATGAACGAAGGAATTCATGTGCATTTATCTACAAGACAATGTCTATAAATTTGTTTATTTCAACCTGTTTCATTAACTAATTTCTTTGATTTTAAAAAGAAATGCGTCGCAATTTACATCAGTCATATGTTTTATTCTGTTTTATTTATAACTGTCAAACAATTATTCCGATCTCCCATGTGCACGGTGCTCGACATTTAAACAGTAACGGGTTGATATGGTGGTGTATGAATATTTCAACATTCTTTAAGTACCTTCATTGCATCCATCCATCTACCAAGCAGCAAATATGGCCATGTGTTGTATTTGGTACCCGGAGACCTGCTACATCTAGCGTTTGATGTCAGCTGATGAACCGTGAACCTACTGAGACATCTTGAACTTCTTACTGAACAATTAACTCCGGAATCTAATTAGAATGAAGACGGTGCCATCCCGGTGGTCGGTGGTATAGAAATATTGTCAGTCATAAATCTAAATAATTACACATCACCTCTCAAACTGCATAGCATCCACAGACTTCAGTGTAATTATAGCGTAGATAATCATGGTGTTGTTGAATAATTCATTGAGGAGAAATAAGTAACGGGAACAACTTTGTTAAAACTGTAAGTTGATACAAACACATAGGTGATCTTGTGAATAAAACAGCGCCATCGTTGTTTAGTATTTGACAATAGTTGAATGACCTGAAACCAATTAAATTTTAGTAAATAGGTCAGGTTATCATATGTTTACCAACAGTTCATTTTTGAAAACTGAATGGTTGTCGAAACTATGCAACATCATAGAATAAATTTGTATTATATCCTCCGCCATAATACATAGTCACAAGTATTTGTGGACTATGTATTCCGTGTTAGTATCATCAAATATTAACTGCTTATTAACAGATTTCATGAATGTCTCAACATAATAACTCATACTATGTTTTTCGCATACACATCAAATCTGACTCGCAGCTGGGTGTCTTTTATTTCCATCCTTCAAAGAGAGGTTTTAATAGAACTAGGTTCATATACGTTTCAAAAAGTTGAACAAAAAGTGCTTCATGGAATTGTGTTGAATGTTGTGTTACCTGCAGGTAGAAGCAGCAGGGTGGATGTTAGACATTATTACTCAACTCAACCTAAGTCAGTCTGAAGACTATGTGTGTCAGTAATCCAAGGTCGTGAACTTCAGAAACACAGTTTCAGTAAATGTTCAAACAGTTAATATTTTATGATAACTTGACAGGATAATCATTCTCATTTCATTCCAACTGAAAGTACAGATTACCCACCCATGCGTTTCTACACTGAAGTCGTTCCTTTACAGCATATTATGTGACGGGCAATTACAATTCATGCTCCAATAAGCTTCAATGAGCGGACCATTTGCCATTCTTCTCACTCCTGGAATAGACAATCAGAGGTGTATGTCGGTAGACTATAATTTCATGATTTCTTTTTCAAATAAGTAAACTCACATAGTTAATATCCTTCATTTCGTATATATGTAGAAGGGGTCGGTAAGTGGTAGATAACATTTGCCTGTAATAGGTTCCAGAGTTCAGGCACTCAAATAATATCGCAGTCTGCCATGCTAGGTGTATTATTCCATGACGTGAACACTTGATATATAAATAGTACATATTCAAACTAAATAGCTGGTTTCAATTCCTAAAGCGAAATAAGGGAATTCACAATAATACGTGCAATTAGCATAAATAATAAACAAAAGCACAACATGTAATATTGACAAGTTTGTGAGGAACATGTGCAACGCGCAAATCATTGGACGGTCGCTCTACCATCACACTGATTCACCTGAGTGTAATTTCATAAATCACAACATTTCACGGTAATAGCTTTATTTACTGATCGTCGTTTGCCAAATCATATTTGAACTTAACATTTTATCAAATACTTCTAAACTGTTTGTACACTGATAAGGTGGCTTGTTATCTCATGTGATACTCCGATTTTTTGCTTTATACAAATTTAAACATTCGGTTACGCTTTGATGACTAAATACACGTACATGTTTTTTTTATTTTGTTTCCACGAAATCAGTTGACGATTCACTGATTTTGATGAAGAATTCATCATTTTGATAAATGTTGTTTGTGGGTTCTTTTTTATTCCCAATTCGTCTGCCTGTATATATAGTATGGGTCTCAAACAGCCATCGCCCTGGTCTATAAGCTTATGTACGGTAATATATAATATAAGCTTATGTACGGTAATATATAATATAAGCTAATGTACCAACATGCTCTCAACTATTGCACTCTGTCAAAGTTTCCAGACACATGACACAAATACTTTTGTTAATGCGAAGCCAACAAGGGTTTTTCATGTGATAGCACTCATTAGCGTTACTTGGAAATCTGGAACAGGTTCTTTAATTGTAAGGTTGAGAGTTCAGTGGCGATCATCACGATCAATATTATAGTTACATTGTCAAAATACTGTTACCAAGTACTGGTGTAATCATTGCATGTATGTTACACTGATAGTTACATTGTCAAAATACTGTTACCAAGTACTGGTGTAATCATTGCATGTATGTTACACTGATAGTTACATTGTCAAAATACTGTATACTGTTACCAAGTACTGGTGTAATCATTGCATGTATGTTACACTGATAGTTACATTGTCAAAATACTGTATACTGTTACCAAGTACTGGTGTAATCATTGCATGTATGTTACACTGATAGTTACATTGTCAAAATACTGTTACTGTTACCAAGTACTGGTGTAATCATTGCATGTATGTTACACTGATAGTTACATTGTCAAAATACTGTATACTGTTACCAAGTACTGGTGTAATCATTGCATGTATGTTACACTGATAGTTACATTGTCAAAAATACTGTATACTGTTACCAAGTACTGGTGTAATCATTGCATGTATGTTACACTGATAGTTACATTGTCAAAATATTGTATACTGTTACCAAACTGGTGTAATCATTGCATGTGTGAATCATTGTCATGTATACTGTTGTTGGTGTAATCTGATGTATGTTATAGTTACATTGTCAAAATACTGTTACCAAGTACTGGTGTAATCATTGCATGTATGTTACACTGATAGTTACATTGTCAAAATACTGTATACTGTTGCCAAGTACTGGTGTAATCATTGCATGTATGTTACACTGATAGTTACATTGTCAAAATACTGTATACTGTTACCAAGTACTGGTGTAATCATTGCATGTATGTTACACTGATAGTTACATTGTCAAAATACTGTATACTGTTACCAAGTACTGGTGTAATCATTGCATGTATGTTACACTGATAGTTACATTGTCAAAATACTGTTACCAAGTACTGGTGTAATCATTGCATGTATGTTACACTGATAGTTACATTGTCAAAATACTGTATACTGTTACCAAGTACTGGTGTAATCATTGCATGTATGTTACACTGATAGTTACATTGTCAAATAATACTGTTACCAAGTACTGGTGTAATCATTGTATGTATGTTACACCGATGCTTAGATTCTCAAATAAAACTGTCTTTTCTTCACCTTACTATGTTTCTACAACGGTTAATTTGTAACAGGTCTTGATATCGCCCGACTATAAACTATGCAGAAATCAGATAAACGTTTCCGTTTATTGAGCACATTATTGATAACTACACAATTTATACATTGTCAGTGCAAAAGAATACCCTTTCTTGACTAGCCTCGGATTCCACTTCGTTTAAAGGGCAGATATAAATAATGGTATGTTTTCAGTAATAACTAATGTCAGCAATAAGCTGTACAAGATGCGTGCTCACTGCACCTGTAATGAAGATGTTGACAAGAGTGGTTATAGTTGAACTGCTCTTCGTTCGTCCGCACAATTCAACTATCATACAACACACAACGATTGCAGATTGTCGGTAACAAAACCAAAATAACGACAACGTAATCGTCCAATATGTTGCCATGGCGACCGTTGTTGTTCTCATGACATGCACGTGCATTTCAGTGAAATGTTAATCGATCGCTTCTACCTCACAGCTGGGGGTACATAGTTAGGAGAGGTAAAACTAGAAACAACTTCAGTCCCGTCCGGACATGTCTGAAGCCCTCTGTCTGCCGCCGCGGCCTGAATCAGATAAGCATCTTGTGACACCTGGGATATAGCGGGTATGCCGCCGCATACAGCGGTTACGTCCCTTTGACGGATGTTTTCATATCGTCTAGACAATGGAGACATTAGCCCACGTGCATGATCATGTATTTTCTCATATATCACTAATTTAATGATCATATATGCAGCCAATGGTGTACGATGTCGTGTGACTAACTCCACCCTTCTTTGAAGGTTATGTTTCAGTATTATATTTACCTCATGTATTACCAGCTTTGAGAGACATAAAAAGTTGGTGTACAAAGAATCAAGGCCTTTATTACAGTTACACAACCGACGTTTCGGTTCTGACATGGTTTGATAACAGTTTGCGATACTACAGCGACACGTTGCTCCTAATTGGGATAAAGCAGTAGTTCATCTATATGTCTCATATTACTTCAAATATTTTAATCTTTGAAATTCGTAGAAATGCGAAACATATTTCCTATTTACCTGATAACAGATACACTATATCTGTGTATCTGTGCGTGAGAGCAATCAGAGGTAATGTCGCCATAGATCCGAGGCTAGTTTATGATTACACTGCAAATATCTTCTTATACGTTAACGGTGTGCCACCATGTACCGTCACATATATTCACGATAGACTGCAGTATATTACAGGTGGTATGCTAGGCATTGCTTCAATGGTGTGTTCTTATAGGTTAACAGTGTGCCACCATGTACCGTCACATATACTCACGATAGACTGCAGTATATTACAGGTGGTATGCTAGGCATTGCTTCAATGGTGTGTTCTTATAGGTTAACGGTTTGCCACCATGTACCGTCACATATATTCACGATAGACTGCAGTATATTACAGGTGGTATGCTAGGCATTGCTTCAATGGTGTGTTCTTATAGGTTAACGGTTTGCCACCATGTACCGTCACATATACTCACGATAGACTGCAGTATATTACAGGTGGTATGCTAGGCATTGCTTCAATGGTGTGTTCTTCGCTGTATTAATTATTTTCGATTCTCTCTAAAGACATATATTTAAGTCATCATAACAAAGAAAAATTGTGATCACGTTTTGGATGCCATCATTTTCGTTTTTAAAGCCCCGATTTGGCCATGCTTCTTGAACAACAGCGACTACAAGTGTCTATGGAACTAACTACGTGTTACAGGTTAAAGGGGGGACAGAGACAGTAACATGGAAGAAGGGGGAATTATTCAGTGAAATATAAACAACTAGTTTGAAGTCATTTAATTATTATACCAGATGAGGAGGTCAGGAACTGTTCCATAAAACTGGGGTTGGCATTGTACAATACAGCCTCAGACTAAGCCAAGCTCATCCCTGTAATAGCTGACCAGTTCTGTGTTCGGACGATAGGCTCCTGGGACTATCGGATGGTGTACAGTGTTTATAGTATGTAATTGGTGGAAGTAGCACTTCTGTAGCTAAGACGTGGGACCGGAACTCTTGTAATACAAGTTAAACTAATAACACTACATGTCAGTTTACCTCACCCTCGATACTGTCGAGTAACATGGTGGACACATGTTGAATATATATCCTAACCATGTAGCACATTGAGCGGTTCACGAGAACACAGTGAGTTTAGCGTTACATCGGTATTATTTCTGTCATGTAGCTGACTACACAGATATACCACAAGTACTGGCCTACACACGCTTGACGCGCTGTGTTACATCTGTTACATGTTACATGTGTTATCATGCTCTGTAGCTCACCTTACATCCACCCTGACCTCATGCTGTGACATCTCAGTCACACGTCTGTATATGTGTCATGTCTCAATATGTCTCACGTCTATAATATTTCGTCTCATGTCTACATATATTCCGCTTCAAACCAATCTATATATTTCTCTAACGTTTACATACATCTTGTCTGAAGTACATGCACATCTCTCGTGTATGCAGATAATCAGCTGAGGAGGATGAAGACACAAATCCCACGGGCTCCTAAATGGGTACCTTGAGTATGATGCCAAGACCCATACACACAATAACCCGTGGGGCAACCCGACGTAATGTGTGTGCAACCCGCCATGGTTGTAATTAGAACGCTCTTCAATATACATTTGCCTCATACATAACTGTCAGTCAGCTTTGATATTATGTCAATTTTAAGCAACGATATTGATAACAAAACTGGAAAATCGTGATAGACTGGGCGTTACCCAGATTAACACATACCCTATCCTCCCCTAACCCCCAGTCATCTACAGCTTCCACCCATGCACCTGTAATGATTGCTACACTTACCTGCTGAAAGGAATTTACCTGTAATTAACGGGGTATGAAACGAGGGTAGAACGAGTTTGGCAAGAGGTTGAGACAGGTCGTTAGGTAGACACCTCCTTGACAACACCCAAACCTGTCTAGATGCTGTTTCATGAGCACTCTCAAGACGCTTGGGACAAGCCACCCCTCTGGTGACGGGGATCATTAGTTCCGCCTGGGTTAAAACTCTGGGGCCGGACGACACAGCAAACCGCCCTAACAGTTAGTGTAGCTGGTGTTCAAAACCTGTAGCACTTGTTCCATATATGATATCTATACAACTGGGAAGTCCTTGTGTATTCAGAATTTAATTCTGTTGAATACATTATTGTCATACATATAATACTCCTAGCGGAACATGTTGTAAGATAGTGCCATAATGACCATAAACAATATAGTATGTGCCCATTGTTGCCCACATTCAGTTTGTCCATGGTCAGTTTGGGTGCACCTCCAGCTGTTTTCAAATTTTGAATTAAACGATATTTTCAGTTCCGCTGCCTGCTGCCATTAAGTAATTGTTATGTTTCGTAATATTGTTTATTTTAAAGAGAACTAGAATACAATCGGTTGGAATTCCGTTTGTTGTTCAGTTGGACCACTTTGAAATTCGAGCGTCCGCACTGTACTTTTAAACGTTAAATGTTTTCCTGTGTAATCAGCTGAGTCACAACCTGTGAAAAGGGATATGTATGTGGTTCCACTGACCAATCAGCTGGCCGGGCGTGGCGACCAATGTCGGCTATGTGGTGCCAAGAAAACGTAAAGAATTTTTTGGAATCTGTAAACGAGAAGATCCCATAAATATCCTGGGTTAACCTTCGCATTGTGCCTTGATCCCGGGTAGGCTTGGGTTTCAGAATGAGGTGCATCCTTTCCAGTACCGTATACATCAGGTCAGAATCGAGCAGAGACAGTCTGACTTAACCTGGCGGTTGACCTGATGTGTGGTGGCATACATGTACGGGTAGGCGGACCTACACTCAGGGAAGTGTCAGGGATCCTTTGGAGGAAGCGGGTATGTCATCGGGTAGATGGATATGTACTCGGGTAGGTTGGTATATGCCTGGGTGTGTGTATGCCCAGTAGTTGTATATGTATTACTCGAGTACGTTGGCTTTGTTAGATGGGTATGTTCTCGAGTAAATAGATGTACTTGGATAAGTGTCAGTGCTCTCGGGTAGGTGGGTGTTTACTGGGATAAGTGTCCATGTTCTCGGGTAGGTGGGTGTACTGTGATAAGTGTCAATGATCTTGGGAAGGTTGGTATACAATTGGTTAGTCAGATATATTCTTTGGGAGTGTTGAGAAAGTTTCCTGGTATCTGGGAATCTGTATGTAACCGACTATTAGCTTAGTAAATGGGTTTGCATAAAGGAGAAGGCATTTATTACAATTAGTACGGTACTGCTTTTGTATCCTCTTGGCTTTACTGCCGCTAAAAGGTCCAAGTTAAAGCACGATTTAGCGTAGGCGTAATATTATCTTTCTTTACGCATATTCTTTTTTGAAATGCCTTTTTCAGTTTTATTCGACTCTACTTAACGGTACTTGAGAGTTCTGTGAAATCTTTGGCATTACAGAATTACAGTTAATGACAGTTTCTACTATTATTTATTCTGTTAAAGCTAACCATTGGAATATAATACCCTTTACCCCAAACCGAAGTTGATGATGTCTGCTATGTTTCGATGGCTGGTTGTAAAGTTCTGAGCCTAACTACGAAGAATCTAAAGTACATCGATCACACCTTGCACGAGTGAGGTAGCATACTTTCCATGCTTGCTGCATCAACACGCCTACCATGTGTGTCTGGCCGGTGTACTCTTGCCTCAACACGCCTACCATGTGTGTCTGGTAGGTGTACTCTCGCCTCAACACGCCTACCATGTGTGTCCGGCCGGTGTACTCTTGCCTCAACACGCCTACCATGTGTGTCTGGTAGGTGTACTCTCGCCTCAACACGCCTACCATGTGTGTCCGGCCAGTGTACTCTCGCCTCAACACGCCTACCATGTGTGTCTGGTAGGTGTACTCGCGCCTCAACACGCCTACCATGTGTGTCCGGCCGGTGTACTCTCGCCTCAACACGCCTACCATGTGTGTCTGGCCAGTGTACTCTCGCCTCAACACGCCTACCATGTGTGTCTGGCCAGTGTACTCTCGTCTCAACACGCCTACCATGTGTGTCTGGCCGGTGTACTCTTGCCTCAACACGCCTACCATGTGTGTCCGGCCGGTGTACTCTCGCCTCAACACGCCTACCATGTGTGTCTGGTAGGTGTACTCTCGCCTCAACACGCCTACCATGTGTGTCCAGCCAGTGTACTCGCGCCTCAACACGCCTACCATGTGTGTCTGGCCAGTGTACTCGCGCCTCAACACGCCTACCATGTGTGTCCAGCCAGTGTACTCTCGCCTCAACACGCCTACCATGTGTGTCTGGCCAGTGTACTCGCGCCTCAACACGCCTACCATGTGTGTCCAGCCAGTGTACTCTCGCCTCAATACGCCTACAATGTGTGTCTGGCCAGTGTACTCTCGCCTCAACACGCCTACAATGTGTGTCTGGCCAGTGTACTCACGCCTCAACACGCCTACCATGTGTGTCCAGCCCGTGTACTCTCGCCTCAACACGCCTACCATGTGTGTCCGGCCGGTGTACTCTCGCCTCAACACGCCTACCATGTGTGTCTGGTAGGTGTACTCTCGCTTCAACACGCCTACCATGTGTGTCTGGTAGGTGTACTCTCGCCTCAACACGCCTACAATGTGTGTCTGGCCGGTGTACTCTCGCCTCAACCCGCCTACCATGTGTGTCTGGCCAGTGTACTCTCGCCTCACATCGTCATAGTTGGAGCAGTAGATATAATACATACGCGGGCTAGCTACAAATATTTTAGCCCAACTATGATGGACTATACTGATGGTGTTGGCTGCACATTATACTTCAGTATAATCCCTCTGCCCTCGGTACTGGAGTGATCGGATCCCTCTGGCATTAAAGACTTCATTTCGGTGGTGTAAAAGGTCCTTTACAGCAGAAATGACGTCCTCACCGCGCTGCCTAATCAGATCATGATATCACCTTCCAGGAGGTTGTCCACTAGAAGTATTCCTTCTTCTTTGAGAAGTGGGGCGGTGGGGTAGCCTAGTGGTTAAAGCGTTGGCTCGTCACGCCGAAGACCAGGGTTCGATTCCCCACATGGGCACAATGTGTTAAGCCCATTTCTGGTGTCCCCCGCCGTGATATTGCTGGAATATTGCTAAAAGCGGCGTAAAACTAAACTCAGTCAGTCAGTCTTTGAGAAGTGTTCCTGTGGAATCAAAGTGGCCATCGTCTCCAGGTCATTTGCATTCATCGGAGACGGAGACGTTGGACTGTTTCCAATCCTGTATTTAGTCTCTAGTCTGCGTCACCATGGGTTAAGAACCACTCAACCTTCTTCAAAACTACGTCATTTATAACGACAGAAGATGGATCTGGAGCGTCAGGAGCCTTGAAACCCAGCATAATGTAATCTTTGTTATGCTGAAACCTCAGAAGGATCTAATCTCTCTCTCTTGAGAGATGCATACTTCATTTCAGCTGAAATACATCTAGACTGTGACTGCCAGCTTTGTCCATTTTCATCAACAGAGAATACCTGGTCCGTGCAGGTGGTGTAAGCATGGAATTGTACTTAATGCTGGTAGAGTGGGCTATACCGATATCTTGGTTAGCATCAAGACTTTTCTCGTATAAGCTTGCGGGGATGATGATGATGATGATGATGATGGTGATCAAGGAAAATATGTTGATATGAATTGGTGGTGATGTTATTTTCATTATAATTGCATTTGTTTGGTTTTAATCAGGACTAGTTATGGATGATGATGATGATGATGATGATGATGTTGACGACGACGACGACGACGACGATAACTATGATAATGATGTTGATGTTGACGACGACGATGATTATGATGATGTTGGTGACTACGACGACGATGATGATGATGACGGACGTTGACGAAGACTACGAAGCATCACAGTAGGCCTATCCAGTATCCAGTTATAAAGGGTTTATTAATCACCACCCCCTCTCGGTGATGAGAGGTCTGGCGGGGCGGGTGTTTATCTACAGCCATCTCGTCAATATCAATATTCGCGCCATCATACCACGCTTTTCGACTGCCATATTGTTCCGTCTGATTGGGACTTGTCTCATGTCGATTTAATGTCCAACTTGAAAGTTCTGACATATCGTTTGATCGGGAAATTAGCCATGTGGTGTTCTTTGTTAATATCTACACCAGTGATTAGTAGCACCTGGTGCCTTAAGCACACGTGTTGATTTCCGTCGCTTGATTTATGAGGCTTTGAAATTCGATTATTGATTTCATTCCTGGCAAAGGTGTTGATATAACACTGAGAGAACAGCAAAAAGCTTGCAGTGGAAAGACAGCATACTTCATTTAACAGTGACCATGATTGTTAAAGTTGTATATACACTGTTGTGTCTCATGTTCTCCACATACACCTCTTTATGTTCTATCCAGTACAGAATCTGTCTTAAGTAACCCATGCTTGTCGTACGAAAAGGGACCGGGTGGTCAGGTTCGTGACTTGGTGGACACAGGTCATCAGATCCTAATTGTTCAATAGTCAGTCACTCGGTTGTCTCGGTTATGTACAGATGGAAGTCATATAGCTGGAGTATTACTGAATGCGATGTTAAACAACAAACATGTTTATGAGCGTTTGCCGGAAGACCGAGATCGGTGGTTCTGTTCCCCGGCCGTGTCATACCCAACTATTGTTACCCATTCTGGCAGGGGCTATAACAAGGGCTATTCGGAGTCTGTATACTGCGAATATATTCTCAGTAAAGTGCCGATTCTAGTACCTAGTTGGTTTGAGTCGAACCCACACACTCATAGTCAGGCACCTGATCGCCAGCACACAAAGTCAGCCATCTAACCCGCTCAGCCACCGTCACTTCCACAAAAATGGAAGTCGGATAACTGGCAGTCTTGACCATGGTCTTTGTGAACCCCTCTTATAAGTGTCAGTTGGAACGGCTCCCACGACCGAAAGCTGTGGTGCATATAGCTACTGACACACGGTGAACTATTGCTGTTTTACTAACAGTTATGGAAGTTTATAACTGTAGAATAAACATGGGTCCGATGCCAGCAGGATACACGTACGTTGTACATGTGTGTTTGATTCATCTTCATGGTTTT